TGACCAAAGTGAGACTGAACTGACCGGTTTAAACTAGACAGCTAACTTTAAGGTTATCTAAAGTTAAGTGAAGCTTGGTCCATCTGCCACTGAAATCCCTGGGAACTGATAACCCCTGCTGTGCTGATGATTTCAGTGACAGATGAACAAAAGAATCAATTATTAGTCACCTACAAGCTTCATCAAGATTTTCTCAAGAATTAGATGTCAGACTCCTATCAAATTTCAGTGAGGAAGCAAGCCCGTAAGAACTCATCTGTATAAGTCATGCCCTGCAGGCTACGATGGTCTCAGCACATCCCTTAAACTGCTGGGACTTCAAGGAGAGCCCTGGATCTGTCAGGCAGGACAGAACTGAACCAGTTTTTCAGCTTGCTGGCAGAAACATTTACAAGGTGTTTTATCCAAAATGTAAGGTACTGAGGAGGTTGAAAGAAGCTCTTAGGGATTGCTTTGAGCATCCGCTGCATATATTTACATATCATGATGTATGAGTATTTCGTGAGAATACCCCTTCAAGCATTCACGAGGAACTGAATCCATTGCACTTAGCAGAGGCAACCTTTATGTTCTTGTTTTAAGCACTGTTGCAGGCTAACATTTTTGTAAACATGTGAACACTGCTGAGTGTTGTCAGCTGGAGGCCAGATGCCTGTTTCAGTGTAACCCTTCAGTCTGCTTGAGTGACACTGGGGCGGATAGAGCCCCATCCCTCTAGGTTTGGAGCTGCATGGTGGGATGAGGAAGGATGAAGTAGCTCCATCCTCTTTGTACAGGTTGGAGGGAGGTGATTCCGCCGGCTGGGTGGGCTGAGAGAGTGGGAGGCACGTGTCCCCTCTGCCTGGCCTGCCGTGGGAGGGCAGGGAGTCTCAGGAGGGCTGTTGCTGCTGTGGGGAAGGTGGGAAGCTGCCCACTCCTCCCTGCCCCAACACATTTGCTGGTTGTCCCTGCCACAGCTGCACCTCTCTGAGGACCACTGCTTTCTGGACCTTGATCCTTAAAGGATAACTGGCTGGGAGCGGAGGTGAGAAAAGCCAAGGAGCCTCAAGTGCGCTCATCTCTCACTCCTCTGCTCTGACTTCTCGCTCCTCCTGCCCCTGCTGCGTGGCATTTTCTGCCCCTGCGGCAGCCTAAGGAGGTGGGAAGGCCATTCTGCCCTGCCCTGGGGGACTGCAGAGAGCAGGACGCCTCACTTGCAAGGCTGGCACTACCATCTGCACCTGTTTCTTTTATGGCGACAAAAAGTGGCATCATCAAACTAAAAGACACAAATCTACTTTGGACTATGACAGCTGGCTAATCATCTAGGTACGTGCCTAGGCATACATTTGCTGGGCTGCTGAATGCAGTTACAAAGGGCTTAAGAAGCTGATTAATTACATGTAATCAGTTGATGTTTTAAAATGATTAATTACAGTTACTGGTTACCTTTAATTAATATGAAAGTAGACCCTGCACATTTTATTCATATGCATACTACCATCAAAGCCAGTTGCAGCATGCAATTTAGGTAGTTATTTTTATCTTTTAGCTAGTTTTTTATTTTACTCTTTCACGGACATCAGAAAATGATAACTCTGCAGACTCCAAAGGACATGTTCCTGTAGCATTCTTCTGGGAATGATAAAAGTCTTGAAAGCAGGAA